CTGAAATAACGGATATAAAAAGACTGAGAAAAATCCCAAGGGCCCACCCTTACGTACTTTTCGGTGCCGTCCGATTTCGGCGGGGGGGGGGGGGGGGGGCACCGTGCCCCCGGTCGGGGTACGGCCACCATTACGACCGACGACTTGTACTATTGACGCTGGTTACGACGGAAAATTGTGCGTTCTTGAACGGGTGGTGGGAAAATTCTGATTTTTGGCTGATAAATAGTTGACATTTGTAGAAAAATAATAGCAAAGTCTTAGAATTTTTGAAGGTTTAGTTCTTTTTTACGGGGTAAAACAAATTTCTCTATTTTACTTATTTTTACGGGAAAATTTCACTTTACGGTAACTAAATAAAATGTGGATTTTTCGATTGGAATCGATAGATCTCGTCGAGTTCTACCATTTCCAGTTGAAAAAACTATTGGGACTCGCTTCTAAAAAAAGTTATAAACATTTTAAATTGGCTAGTTCACTTTACGGTAACTAAATAAAATCTCGATTTTTCGACTCGACTCGATAGATCTCGTCGAGTTCTACCATTTCCAGTTGAAAAACGATTAGGACCCGCTTTTAACGAAAGTTATAAACGGTTTAAAGTGGTTGGTTCACTTTACAGTAACCTCGTAAAAATGCGATTTTTCGCCTGCGATAAATAGATCTCGTCGAGTTCTGGCATTTACAGTTGTAAAAACCTTTGGGAAAGTTGTTCGGAGGAAGCTACACTATATTTTTGACATTTTTTGACTGTGAAATTGTCAGGCAAGGCGGGCCGTCGCTTCGGATGGGCTGCCGCTCCACTCTTTCGAAATGGGGGCGCCCCCGGCCGCTTCGCCGGCCTTGGCGCCCCCATTTCGAAACCCTGTACGAGCTCGCACCCATCCGAAGCGACTAGGCCCCCGGTGGCACGAAGCCTTTTTCTAGTCGCAGAGCGGAGGAAGTAGCGGTCACTTCCCTCCAAATTGAGTGACTTCCGTTGCAAAACCGTCTTTTTTGATGTTTCAGAAATTCAGAAATTCGGAGGAAGTGCAAAATGTGTGCTAATAAAGTTTTTCCTGCGCCTTTTGCAGCGGCCCCGTATTTGGTGCCCCAGTACGTTCACAACTATTACGTTTTTTCCGTACAATGGAGTCCCTCGTAGCGGAAACCGACTTTTTCGATGCGGGGTGAATTGGTTTAAAACAGCTATAACTTTTGTTAAAAGCGAGTCCCAATCGTTTTTTCAACTGGAAATGGTAGAACTCGACGAGATCTATCGATTTCAGTCAAAAAATCGACATTTTATTTAGTTACCGTAAAGTGAACTAGCCAATTTAAAATGTTTATAACTTTTTTTAGGAGTGAGTCCCAATAGTTTTCTCAACTGGAAATGGTAGAACTCGACGAGATCTATCGATTCCAATAGAAAAATCGACATTTTATTTAGTTACCATAAAGTGAAATTTAGCCATTTTTACTTTTTAATTCGCAACTCGCTTCAAATACGCTGCCCATGGCTGATCTTTTGCAAATGGTGTCTCCGAATGATAATCTTTAGCACAACACCAAATTTTACCTGATTCTATGGTATTTTATTATTGCTTGCTAAAACGTGCCCCAGAGGGATACTGTAGTTTTTGTTTTTCGCGCTTTTCTTTTTATTGTAAGCTGCGATTTCGCTTAAAATTTTATCATTGGTAAACACCAGTAAGGGTCACCTATTGGTCAAAGATCGTGGAGTTCTAGCCATAACTAGAGTGCGGCTTATTCAAATCAAATCGCGACTCAAACCGGTTTGATTTGAATAAGGGCGGTTTGAATAAGAATCTGCTTTTCAAATCAAACCGGTTTGGTTTGAATAAGGATCCGTTATTCAAACCAAACCGACCAGGTTTGAGTTGGTTTGAGTTGGTTTGAACAACAGGCAAATCAGCATGTTAATCGATCCGATGGATGCTAATCGGCTAAGGTTTGCATGACCATTATAATGATGATATTGGGCTGGTTTACAGGGTTTACACACTTTTTAACCATAGTCTTGGGATCCACGACCGTTCACAATCATCCTAATGGTCGTCATAACCTTGGCAGGGCTGCTAGAAAAAAAACGTCTCGGAATAGTCCCCCAACCTCTAAAACCTGTCAGGAATGCTGCCGAACGACCCTAAAGTGAACCACCGATAGATTGGTGCCAAAACGCAAAAATAGTGCAGAAAACAGGCTGTTTTGGAGAATGGTTCTTATTCAAACCTTGTTCAAATTATTCAAACCGGTTTGGTTTGGTTTGAGTTGGGAATCCTTATTCAAACCGGGTTTGGTTTGAATAAGGATCCCGTATTCAAATCAAACCGGTTTGATTTGAATAACGGAAATCTTATTCAAACCCGGTTTGAATAAGCCGCACTCTACCGTGGGAAACAGCCAAAATGACGACATTCGAAATGACGACAGCCAAAATGACGACAGCCAGAATAGCGACAGCCAGAATGACGACAGCCAAAATGACGACATTCGAAATAGCGACAGCCAGAATGACGACAGCCAAAATAGCGACAGCCAAAATGACGACAGCCAGAATAGCGACAGCCAGAATGACGACAGCCAAAATGACGACATTCGAAATAGCGACAGCCAAAATGACGACAGCCAAAATAGCGACAGCCAAAATGACGACAGCCAGAATAGCGACAGCCAAAATGACGACAGCCAGAATAGCGACAGCCAAAATGACGACAGCCAGAATAGCGACAGCCAAAATGACGACATTCAAAATGACGACATGCAAAAATTTGATTTTTCCCAGCTATTATGGCTGATTTTGCATGTCGTCATTTTGAATGTCGCCATTTTGGCTGTCGCTATTCCGGCTGTCGTCATTATGGCTGTCGTCATTCTGGCTGTCGCTATTCTGGCTGTCGTCATTTTGGCTGTCGTCATTTCGAATGTCGTCATTTTGGCCGGAAAAACTCTACCATATACCTTCCCAAAATATGCAAAAAACTTATTTTTGAATTTAGCCACGGAAGTTTCTAAATATTTTGATGCATCGGACTGAAAACTACTATTATTTGTTTTCCTGAAAGATCGAAACGTTTCTATGGTGAAAAGTACGAGAAAACGGCGATTTTCTGTTTTCTACCGTAACCCGCCTGGAGCGCGTTTTAGCATGACAAAATGCCATAAAATGCCAATTTTTCTATTCTAGACTGTTCACTGGGCGATTGCAAGAGCACATACAAAAAATTATTTGGTTCCTGTGGCAGATGACAAAGTTATGAGGGAAAGAGGAAAACCCCCCTCGGACCCCCGATTTTGGACCCGGGGGCCCGGGCCGAAAATCGGATTTTTGAAAATGAAAAAGGCATCGGGGTTTGGTGGATACATTAAAGCACGCATCGAACAGTGTATGAGAGCAAAATTCTGGAATGATCTGGCTGAAGTTAATGGTGAATTTTTATTTAAAACCCGAAAATAAAGTTTTTGAAAAGCCGACTTTGGGGAGCTCTTCTAAATTCGTTTGTCATGAAAAGGTTTTCTATTTGCATGGGTTCTAGTTGATTACCCAAGCTCGATCTATACCAGAAAAGTCGGAGCTACTAGGGCTTCGAGAATTTTTTTACGTCGCCTCGAATTAGGGTATATTTGGACTCTTCATGAATTTCTTTTGGGAGATCGGATGGCCCAATAAATTTGTAGATATAATCTTAAAATGCGCCAGTTAGGAAGCATCAAATAAAATTATGACAGTAATTCTAGCCGAGCAAATGAATTTTATAGACTGGCACAAAGGTCGGGGAAATAGCATGAACCAACTGTTTTGGAGGCACTAAAAGGCAACCTTCCAAAGGGGTACGGTAGCTAGAAATTGTTTACATGATAGAGGGACGCCAGTCCACACAACTAAGCAAAGCAAACACCGAAATTCTATCTGCAATTTTAGAAATATTTTTCCAAAGTTCAGTTTCGTGATCTCGAAAGAATCCATGACCAGGGGGTCGTCGAAAAACTCAAAAATCCGCAGATCTGAAAAATTTTTTTTGATATTTTTGCGGGGTTGTATCGAGCCTATAGACATGCTAAAACAGCTTATTTTGAGGTTTCTACCATAGGTTTTTGTAATATTCGAAATTTACGAAATTTCTCCATACTAAATTTGAGCACGCTATAACTTGTGAACCAGATCTTCGACAATTCTAAAATTTCGGATGTGCGTAGGGGCAGTTCTTATGTATCCACACTGTAAAAATTGGAAGTGTTCGACCACCAGCAATCCTAAAAAATACAAACGAAGTCTTGCCGGAGCGCACAGTTTTCGGGTGTCATTTGTATGGGTACGTCGCCAAAAATCGAAAAAATCAAGTTGTGTTAAAGTTCATACCCACCATATTTAAGCATACTGGCATGGTAACGTACCTTCGATTCTCTACTATAAGCGAGATATTTTGGTGCAAACTTGGCTTTTTTTTGACGCACCCTGTATGCAGATTCTGCTAATTTTCGTCCTTCGCGATGTATTAAAAAAGTATTGCCATCTCAAATTAGGCCTAGTCACAAAGTTTCAACCAATTGTGTCACGTAGGCCTCGAGATAGATTTCCGACGTTGGCGACTTGAACGCGCTGTTTAGCCCGGATCACGTTATTTTCAAAATCCCAAATTATCGCGATTCCTCTAAATCGACCATGCTCTATCGGATGCTATCAAAAATAGAGGTCGAAAAAAACTGTACCAAGCCTTGTTCGGGCGGCGTTTTAATTCTCTATCGAATGGTGCATTATATGTAGCAAGACCCGGGCGCGTGGCTTCCGGGCTCGAATCCATTGCGCCATTTCCCAAGAAAGTAAGGTAAAGAAGGGTAGAAGTTTTGGCGAAGCATATTTTCGCCCCGCACAGTCCCCCCCGCGAAATAGAACAGAACCCAAAGATCTGTTGCACAAGTCTTAGACACTTTATCGCACAAAAAAATAAAAATTGAATTTATTGAACGAAAACCGGAAATTGAGCTCGTGATGCCGATTACAGTTCGATGAGGGCCACCAAGAAATTGGCTGGCGTCTTGCCCTGTTGTCTCACGTTGAGCACGCATAACCCATCCCGGGCAACTATTTCCCGCTTCGACCACAGGAAGGCCGTCACGAATTCTGGAAACAATAATGTATTTTCGTCCATGGATTGCGTATCGTTCGCTGGGATTGAGGGTACTGGTCTGTTAGCGGGGGGGGGTTAGCGGACCGAAGTTTTCCCCCTAGTCCCGTACAAGTCAATAAAGAAATATGATTTGCTATGATAACGTCGAAATTCTTAATGTCAAAATTTCAAAATGCCGAAATGTCAGAATATCAAAATCTCATAATAGCTAAATTCAGATTGTGTACTTTTTTGTACAGGATTCGGGGTTTTCCGGAAAAATTAGCTTATGTAAAATCCAACATTCTGGAATCGATATTCTGAAATTTTTACATTATAGATTTCGACATTATGTTTTTCGACATTGGAACAGAAACCTAAACCATACTAACAGAAACCTAAACCATACTAACAGAAACCTAAACCATACTAACAGAAACCTAAACCATACTAACCATTTTCATAGCATTTTATGGCGTTTATTGATATGAAGAACTCATTATTATTATTATTATACACATTTATTATACATTAGAAAATGGTGGTCTGTTTCCCGAAAGTTCGGAGGAAAATATCTAAAACGACCGAAACAGATGCCATTTTCTTTTCACTTTTCACTTTTTTCTTTTTCTGTTTCTTTTTCACGAACTTTTCATTGTTTTCAAACCGTTGTTAACTTGCTAATCAAAACTAGCAAAAGCTCTATAAAACTAGCTAATTTACTGTTAACAGGTTGCATGGAAAAATAAAAATCAGCCGCCACCGCAAAGAGTCCAGTAAAGTGACATCAATGGGCCAAAAAAACAAAAATAGCCCACTGACTTTTCCCATAGGCGCGTGTATCGAAGAAGAGCATGGTGATTCCCTCGTTAACAATCTGCAATTTAAAATTTAGGGGACAGGTCCAGGATTGATGATCCACCGAGAGGTTTTTTCAACCCAGGTTAAAATGCTAATCTTATCCGATGAAAATGTGAAAAGCGTTGGTTCTCGACTGGGGGCAGGGGGGATTTTTAGCGGGGGACCCAATTTCTCCCTGTGATTCTCTACGACCAGCCCCCCCCCAACTCTCTAAACAAAATTTTGGCGACGTATCAAAACTCTCCAGATCAGCGCCCAAGGCAAAAATTTTTGAAAAAAATTAGGTTTATGGGTTCTTTTTAGGATTCCCGGGGGGGGGACCAATTTTTCTCCTGGTGATCCCGGTTGACCTAGTAATCAAATATGAGGTGGTTTCGAATTGTTTTTAGTAAGTTTTAGCTATATTTAAAGCAGAAGAACTTTCAGGAAAATTTAGAAAAATGTTTGAAAAAGTCGAAAATTTGGTCATTTTGGGTCTTCCCCCCGCGAATCCTAAAGGTTCTATAGGATTGTTCGACGTAATTTTTATTTTTTTAATTTTTTTGGTTAAAATGTGTGTAGTTTTTATGCTCAGGAATAATTAAAAACAATTTAGAAAAGCATCCGCAATTTATAAAAAAATCTTGGCTTGTGCCGAAAAAACATTGGTTCCCCCCCACGGGAATCCTAAAGAACCGGTCTATGACAGTAAAAACAGTCTTAAAAACAGCTATCAAAAGCGCCACAGGCCAAAAAAGGTGTCACGAAAAAAATCATAAGGGCCCCCGTTAAGAGTTTTTCGGCCTTTGGCCGATTTGGGCGGGGGTAACTTGCCCCAGTTGTCCCCCTCCCCCCTCCTACGGGCCTGTCTACGACCCTATCACAAAATATAAAGGATTTTTATAGCGTTTTACGTAGTTTTTAGATTACAAAAAGTATGAAAAATGCTGCAAATTTTTCGAAAATTTATGACTTTTTGGTCAAAAACGTATGAAAACTGACCGAACAAGGCGCAAAAATTTTGAATTTTCAAAATTTTCCAAATGATTTTTTCTAACTTTTTAGCAAAAGTTGTTTTTTCCATCTGCTAAAAATCCCCCCACAGTCCGTAACAGTCCAGAATCAAAATGTGAAAAGCGTTTGCTTGGTTGGGTTTTCACTAGCTTTTGCTGGGTATTAAAATCAAAGACAATTCCTCGGACACTTGGAGGATGGGTCATACATTATTTCTGACGCCAATATGACATTGCTCTCACCGATAGTCGATCCGGCAGCCAACTCCTTAGAAATTTCGAAAAATTCAGTTGGCGCACATCGTCGATCGATTCCATACGACCCGCATGGACACGCTCGAGTCGTTGTTGGAATTGGCGCTGCAAAAAATCCACGGTAAGTGTGTACAAACGGTCCCAAATGTCCCAATATCCCAAACACCGCCCTCGGCATGCGCGCGTTTCATTTTTTGTCATCGGGATTTGGGAAGAACTATGGGTAAGGTCGCAAGTTTCCCCCAGCCCTAATGGTTCAGCCATTGTCCCTATGGCTCCCCGACACTTACGCCGCGACACTTGCGCCGCGACACATGCGCCGTGACACTTGCGCCCGACACTTGCGCCGCGGACACTTGCGCCGCGACATTTGCGCCGCGACACTTGCGCCGTGACACTTGCGCCCGACACTTGCGCCGCGGACACTTGCGCCGCGACATTTGCGCCGCGACACTTGCGCCCGACACTTGCGCCGCGGACACTTGCGCCGCGACATTTGCGCCGCGACACTTGCGCCCGACACTTGCGCCGCGGATCGTATATTGATTTAAAGTGTAGTGAATTTGGTATTTCGCGCGATTTTTGTATGTAATTGCTGTATTTTGCATTAAAAGCTGACAGAAAGTGAGTAGAGCCAATTCGGAGCGTTCCTAAAGGCGTCAGGCAAGGTGGGCCGTCGCTTCGGATGGGCTGCCGCACCACTCTTTCGAAATCGGGGCGCCTCGGACGCCCCGATCTTGAAACCCTGTACGAGCCCGCACCCATCCGAAGCGACTAGGCCCCGGGTCGCACGAAGCCTTTTTCTAGTCGCAGAGCGGAAGGAGTAGCAATTACCTTCCCTCCAAATCGAGTGACTCCTAGCGCAAAAACATCTTTCTATCGTTTCTTTAACCAGACTACTCCGCGCGAAAAATTGCATCTTCAAGTAGCTGAAACTCGGCATCGCGGCGCAAGTGTCGCGGCGCAAATGTCAGGCGCAAGTGTCGCGGCGCAAGTGACGCGGCGCAAGTGTCGCGGCGCAAGTGTCGGGCGCAAGTGTCGCGGCGCATGTGTCGCGGCGCAAGTGTCGCGGCGCAAGTGTCGCCGGCGCAAGTGTCGCGGCGCAAGTGTCCGCGGCGCAAGTGTCGCGGTACCGTCCCTATAATGCGTGGAGAATCTCAAAATGTTCACCCAGGTTCCCACTTTTAAGCGTTTCTCATTGAAACCTTAGTGTTAAATAAATTATTATAGGTCCAATTACTATCGCAAAACTTCAAAATTGTCAGAAAAAATTTATAACAATTATACCGCGTGTCCCAAAAAACCCCCCTACCTAGCCGGTCGCAGACCTGTCCGATTTTTACGACTATCGAAAGGCGAGTCCAGCACGTCTCTTAGATTCTCAGTTTTGAAGTTTTTTCAGTTCAGGTCGATTTTCGAAATAACGGAATTTTTGAGAAAAAAATCATAAGGGTCCCCCCTTATGAACTTTTCAGCTCTTGCCCGATTTCGGGGGGCATCGTGCCCCGGTGCCCCCCCGTACGTCCTGGTGGCAAGCCATTGGGAGGGATGGGGCCGGCCCAAGAGAGAGAGGGGTTGATCCGGGCGGGGTGCCGACAGCCAGATTGCCGACAGATTATACAAAAGACAGTATTTGGAGCTAGAATTGAAATTCTATGTAGACATTCAGGTACAATTCAAATAGGCGTGGGGATTTAGACGGGGGGAAAAGTGGACCTATACATATAGGTCCACTTTTCCCCCGTCTAAATCCCCCCTCGGAATACACAACTGTCCAATTTACAGAGCGAAATTCCGTCTGGGCTTCGAGTTATGGTCCGAACACCGCGTCAATTTTCAACTTTTGTTAAAGAAATAAGACACGCCACCTGCCTGGCCCACGGCGCCAGGGCAACCCGGCCCCCTGTGCCCTCGCCAGTACCGACCCGCAGTACCGTTACCGGTCGGTTTGGTACCGGTACCGGAAAACTACCGATGTCTTCGGTACTCACTTGGTACCGGTACCAAAAAGTACCGAGCCGGCGGTACTCAAAGAGTGCCGCTACCGGAAAAGCACAGAGGCTGTCGGTACCAACAAGGTAAGGGTACCTGTCCCCGGTACCGATGTTCGGTACCGGTACCCGCCGAGTACCGCGGTACACAAGGGGCGTTCGGTACCGGTACTGGGTTTCGGTACCGGTAAAAAACCAACACTAGGTAGGGGGTGGGGTACCCCCCAACCGGTGAGGCTTCTGGCTTATAGGATAGGCACTCACCGTAAATGCCATGAGGTTGAAATGTGGCCATTCACATTTTCCGGAGACACGCACTAGCCGCCCCATCAATGGTAGCACCATCGGGCAAAACGCCACCTATAACATTATATTCATAACCGTTAGTCCTAATACAAACTACTCAACTGAAAATTTCGAGATTTAAAAAATGAATACTACAAGGTGTCCCAAAAAGCACCCATCCCGCATTTCGCCATATGACATCCGATCGGTCCCAAAATTAGACCAGAGGTGTATCGGACCCGAAATAACCACAATCCTGAGTTTTAGCCCGATCGCCCCAGTGGTTGGCGAGTTATAGACAGAAAACTGTTTTATATGCTATTTTTAACACTTTCTGCTATCTTTTTCGAATTTACATCGATTTGCACCGACTTCCAGCCTGGAATCGGGTTGATTTTTTGCTTGTTAAAAAACATTCGATTCAATAAGCGTTTATTAAATCGATAAGGATTGTCCGAGTAGATCCTTGTCGCTTTAATAAACCACGATGACGAGCGATCGGGCATGGCGAACGGGCTACGAAAGGCTTTGGCATCTTCTTTGGCTCAACTATTATTGGCAAGTAGCCAGCCCGGTCAAGAAGGTCAAACACTTTCCCACCGGGCGGAGGTCGAACCAGGGATGCTCGACCCGACAGTCCAAGATGCTAGCTAGTACACCACGATGACAAGCGATCGGGCCTGGCGAAAGGGCTACGAAAGGCTTTGGGGGTACGCGCCGACTGTTTTCCATTTTCTCATCTCGGCGTGCGCCGAGATTGCGCTTTGCATCAGAATTACGAATTCCTAATATGAGTTACGTCGATATGAGTCCCCCGTCGGTCCCTCACCCCTGGGGACGCTCGGCCATGTTTCCAAGGGTCTTTAAGCTAAATTTTCGTCAGGAAAAATTTCGAGGGGGTAAAGAAGCCTTCCCGCATCATTTTCATTTGATATTCTATGGATCGACTCCGACAAACCCCCACGAAAAACGCATTACAAGGTTTATTTTTGCTGTTTTTCGAAAACTATAGTAGCTGGCGGGCTATAAATGAGGATTGTGGTTGTCCAATTTCGGATATACCTCTGATCCGATTTTGGGACCGATCGGATTTAATACGACGAAATGCCAGAGAGGGTGCAATTTTGGGGACACCCTGTACATCAGTCATATTTGCGATAGCGTCGACGCTGAAATCACGAATTCCGTCGAAGGCCACTTCCGGCAAACGGCCCTTTTTGTTCGTTAAACAATTAGCCCAGGCTTTCTCGCACACACTGCAATCCCAGGGCGCCGCATTGCTATAACGCTAAATCGTCAAAAATTATCCCGTTCTTATATTTAATTACCGACCTTGATGCACCTCGAGCAGCGGACTCGATCATCAGTCTAAACTAACCTACATTAAAGGGATCATGAAGGCCCAACCGAATTAGCATAAAACGGGTCTTAGTTCTAAAATTAGCATGAATCGTCTCTGCTCCCTCCTGTTTCGGCCCAGTCCCTGCTCATTTTTGGCATTAGCATTTCCGGCTGGCGCGCTATGATCTGACCTACTGGGCTTTCCTTATCCCTTTCAAGCAGAGATGTTACGCATACAGTGTGTGTCAAAAAGATTAATGCTGATACGAAGTTTTTGGCTATGCCGATTCACGAATACTCCGAAAACCCGGAAGTCAGAAATGGAGATGACTTGAAATCTTCGTTAGCATGTAATTTGCAAGCGCGAAGTTTTTGGTAATTAGAGTGAGGGAGGCCTAGGCTGGCCTTGGCTTCCTCGGGCTTTTTTAATTTGCATCGCCTAGGCTGAGCCTGGGCTAGAGTTGTTATTCGACCCGGGTCGAAATGATCGAAACTTTTGTAGGCTCCCACAGCGAAAACTTTGTAAAATTCATAACTTTTTTCTAAAGTAGAATTCCGCTATTTCGTCTTCATTTTTGATTCTGTGAGATCATTTCCTACATTATGAGTCCTTAAACTATAAGTTTTCATGCTAGAATCATAAAGAACGGCCTGCTTGCCTTGTTCCGCGCGCGGCCATTTCTCGGAACCAGTTCCCCCTGCCATGGTGTGCCGTTCTTTGTGATTCTAGCATGAAAACTTATAGTCTGGCCCACGGCGCTAGGGCAACCCGGCCCCCTGTGCCCTCGCCAGTACCGACCCGCAGTACCGTTACCGGTCGGTTTGGTACCGGTACCAGAAAAGTACCGATGTCTTTGGTACTCACTTGGAACCGGTACCGAAAAAGTACCGAGCCGGCGGTACTCAAAGAGTGCCGCTACCGGAAAAGCACAGAGGCTGTCGGTACCAACAAGGTAAGGGTACCTGTCCCCGGTACCGATGTTCGGTACCGGTACCCGCTGAGTACTGCGGTACCCAAGGGGCGTTCGGTACCGGTACTGGGTTTCGGAACTCCCTACCTAGCGGTCCGCAGGCGAGTCCTTTCTACGATTTAGGCATCTATAGAAAGCTCTCGAAAAGGCGAGAAAACAAAGAGGGTTCATATTCTTTATTATCTATTTTTATTCGCTCACCAGCGCCCAAATCCCGTGTGTGTGTGTGTGTGTGTGTGTGTGTGTGTGTGTGTGTGTGTGTGTGTGTGTGTGTGTGTGTGTGTGTGTGTGTGTGTGTGTGTGTGTGTGTGTGTGTGTGTGTGTGTGTGTGTGTGTGTGTGTGTGTGTGTGTGTGTGTGTGTGTGTGTGTGTGTGTGTGTGTGTGTGTGTGTGTGTGTGTGTGTGTGTGTGTGTGTGTGTGTGTGTGTGTGTGTGTGTGTGTGTGTGTGTGTGTGTGTGTGTGTGTGTGTGTGTGTGTGTGTGTGTGTGTGTGTGTGTGTGTGTGTGTGTGTGTGTGTGTGTGTGTGTGTGTGTGTGTGTGTGTGTGTGTGTGTGTGTGTGTGTGTGTGTGTGTGTGTGTGTGTGTGTGTGTGTGTGTGTGTGTGTGTGTGTGTGTGTGTGTGTGTGTGTGTGTGTGTGTGTGTGTGTGTGTGTGTGTGTGTGTGTGTGTGTGTGTGTGTGTGTGTGTGTGTGTGTGTGTGTGTGTGTGTGTGTGTGTGTGTGTGTGTGTGTGTGTGTGTGTGTGTGTGTGTGTGTGTGTGTGTGTGTGTGTGTGTGTGTGTGTGTGTGTGTGTGTGTGTGTGTGTGTGTGTGTGTGTGTGTGTGTGTGTGTGTGTGTGTGTGTGTGTGTGTGTGTGTGTGTGTGTGTGTGTGTGTGTGTGTGTGTGTGTGTGTGTGTGTGTGTGTGTGTGTGTGTGTGTGTGTGTGTGTGTGTGTGTGGCAAATTAAAAATTCAAAATTCAAAATTGCGGGGGATGGAAGGCCAGCGGTGAACCCCCGCGTAGCAGGGGGTCAGCGCTGGTCTGAAATAAACTTCTATGTTAAATCAGGAAAGAGCCACAGAAACTATGGATTGCGCCATACCCAGCTGAGCTCTAATTCCTCTGCGCCATGTCGATAATTGGCCTGCAACTTCCGAAAGATGTCAAAATTCGAAATGTTCTCCTCCAGACGGAGGTCGAGCTTCACGATGGCCGCAGGCCAACGCAGGATTGGGGTGATCTGTAATGGGTCGGTCCCTTTCTCTCTCTCTCTCTCTCTCTCTCTCTCTCTCTCTCTCTCTAACTCTCTCTCGCTCTCTCTCTTGTATCTTGTACAGCATTTTTCGCTGATTCCGAATCTGTTTTCCAGATCTGCGGAAGAGTCCGGTTTCAAAAGTTACAGCTGTTTTTGTTACAAATGGCCCAAAATGGTCCTTTTGTATCCCTCTAAAAATCTTGTGGAGTACTTTCTGGATGAAAAGAAGCCGCTGTCTGGGGGTAGAAAAAGATGCTCTTTCGATCGAATTAATCGAAAAGTCTTTTTCCGGGAGTAAGGAGCAGAAGGTCCTAGCGGATGCGTTGCCAAAAGGTTTTTTTCTAAGCCATTTTTTCCTGGCGGCCCCGGTTGGCCTAGTGATCAAATATAAAGGGAAATTAACATTATTCCGAAATTTCAATACGCAGAAAATCCATTATGCAGAAACTCGTCAGACCGAAAGTTCATTACCTATAAACCCATTAACAAGAAACCCATTACACCGAAATTTCATTGTGCCGAAATTCCAAAACGCAGAAAACCACTACGCAGAAAATCCATTAGGCAGAAGATCCATTACGCAGAAATTCATTACATAGAAAATCCATTACGCAGAACTATGTTACCCCAATCGTTCCACTCCCATAAGATTTTATATACAAAAAAAAAGATGGATCCGCGATCGTTGAGGTTGTTTCAATTAGAGATATTATTATTCAAATCAAATCCTACTCAAATCCGATTTGATTTGAATAAGAAGATTTGAGATTTGATTCCGCCGAAATCAAACCTGGATTTGATTTGAAACTGGCTGGACTTTCAAATAAAATCCAGATTTGATTTGAGAAACTTTCAAATCTGGAGTCATTTTTACGGATGTAAATCACAAGTCGAGCACCAAAAAATATAGGGAAAGAGGGAAGTTTTTGATGTTTTGCATATGATCATCATCGAATAAACCGGATATTGCCGATAAGCATCCTTTTTCTCGCATTTGCTTCGGAAATTTGGGTTGCTCAAATTAATCAAATCAAATCGGTCCAGGATTTGATTTGAATTGGACTTCCGGTTCAAATCAAATCCGATTGGATTTGATTCTGCCGGCAAATCAAATCAAATCTGGATTTGATTTGAGAAACTTTCAAATCCTCAGATTTAAATATATAGAATCCTCCGATTTAAATATATAGAAAACATACAAAACATCTCTAGTATAAACAGAACAAACATCAAAACAGACAAAACAGAAATATAATAACATCTCTAGTTTCAATCATTGACTCGCGGATTTTACTCAGTCAGATAGTCTCACCAGTTAGAAAATTGAGCGAGATTCCCGATTCCCATCCTCCTCCCTAGACTTCTTGAAACAAATTTTGAAGATTTTCTCTTAAATCCCAAAATTTTTGGATGCGCCCCCGAAATCTCGGCTAGAATTTCAATCGGTTCCCCGACACTCAGTTCCCCGACAATCGGTTCCCCGACAAATCAGTTCCCCGACAAATCAGTTCCCCGACAAATCAGTTCCTGGACAAATCAGTTCCCCGACAAATCAGTTCCCCGACAAATCAGTTCCCCGACAAATCAGTTCCCCGACGATCGGTTCCCCGACACTCAGTTCCCCGACAATCGGTTCCCCGACAATCAGTTCCCCGACAATTAGGGAATGATTCCACCATTATAATTACCTTAAAATAGCACCTTACAATTGTCGGGGAACTGATTGTCGGGGAATTGATTGTCGAGGAACTGATTTGTCGGGGAACCGAGTGTCGAGGAACTGAGTGTCGGGGAACTGAATTGATACCCTCGGGAAGGCTCCCGTACGGGCCTGCTGCCTTGTCATAACCTCAAGAAATTTCGGCAGAGAGAAGAACTTCTGCGTAATAGTTTTTCTGTATAATGGTTTTCTGCGTCACGGATTTCTGCGTATTGAAATTTCTGGGTATTGAAAGTTCGATATGATGGGTTTTCTACACAATGGTTTTCTGCATAACGGATTTTCGGCATAATGGATTTCTGCGTAATGGATTTCTGCATAATGAATTTTCGGTATAACGTTAGTAAGGTGTAAGTTTATTTACAGTGTTTTTATTATGTTTTAGTATTGAAGCTAGCAACACTTGCAAAAAATGAACAAACTTTGAAAAGGTCGAAATCTAAATGATTCTTGGCCGAAAAAAAAATTTTTTTGACCCAAATTTAGATTTTTTAATTAAAATTTGTATGGTTTTTATGCTAAGGAATAGCAAAAAAAGCCTTTACAGTAGCGGACAAAAGTATTGGTATTTTTTATTTTTGACAAAATCTCGGGAGATTTAGCTCGAGGTGATCTCAAAAGTTGGTCCCTAGTAGAATTCTAGATGCTTTTTCATATGCAATAGGTTAAAACCGGCCGCCCCATAGTACAAGAAAATTAGAAAAAAAAATTCAAAAAGCTCGACGACAAAAGTATTGGGATTTTTCTTTCTGAAGCCTAGAAAACGAGCAGGCAACCTCGCAGAGCTCTTTTATTGATGCAGAAGGCCCAACTACAGCTGAAATTTGTTTTTCTCATAAGCGATTCCATCCCGGAAGCGCTGAGGAATTTTTTGTAAATCTGATTTTACGATGAAAATTTGCTTTTTTTCCTCTAACTTTTTGAATACAGTTTTAATGTCAGTTCGCTCTATATATTCGGATAGAGCAGCGCAAGGCAAGCATTTTGATATACAATGGCCAGCAGGAAACTCGCTCCTCGCCGAGTTACATAGGGCCCAGTTTTTCAGTCGGCGGCGTCCATAGTAAAATCCATGAAAAGAACACTTAAAGACCTCAGAACCCCGGGGCGCAATATCCTCCCATTAGTGCGCACTTTTGGCAACGCGCGGTTCCAATTTGCGTTTGGTTCAGGTGTCCTTTTGGTTTGCCACCCTCGGGGTGACAGTGCGCGTTCCATCGTTCTGACAGTCTTTAAACCCCGGTGCACAAAACTGGGTCTTTATCTTTCGGGGCACGCCGAAAAACTATGGACATGCATATATAAAAATGCTCGTCTTGAGCTGCTCTATCCGAATATATAGAGCGAACTGACATTAAAACTATATTCAAAAAGTTAGAGGCAAAAAAGCAAATTTTCATAGTAAAATCGAGATTTACAAAAAATTCCTCAGCGCTTTCGGGATGGAATCGCTTATGAGAAAAACAAATTTCAGCTGTAGTTGGGCCTTCTGCATCAATAAAAGAGCTCTGCGAGGTTGCCTGCTCGTTTTCTAGGCTTCAGAAAGAAAAATCCCAATACTTTTGTCGTCGAGCTTTTTGAAATTTTTTTCTAATTTTCTTGTACTACGGGGCGGCCGGTTTTAACCTATTGCATATGAAAAAGCATCTAGAATTCTACTAGGGACCAACTTTTGAGATCACCTCGAGCTAAATCTCCCGAGATTTTGTCAAAAATAAAAAATCCCAATACTTTTGTCCGCTTTACCAAAATACGATCCATCGAAACTACGATTCATTCGAATTACGACTCATCGAAATATCTGTTCTTTATAATTTTAGGGACTTTAGGAAGCTATTTTTTTCGACCGAAGCTTAAATTTTTCTATAAATAGCGGATGCCTTTTGTACAGTAACCGGACTCTTCCGCAGATCTGGAAAACAAATTCGGAATCAGCGAAAAATGCTGTACAAGTTAGGCTAGGTCCCGAATGGAATTTCCAGCCTATGTAAAAACACTTTCCAGTCAGCCACTGTCTGACACTTTCAAAGCATCCTAGGCGAGTGAACCAACCTCACACGGGCCCGTTTCATTCATGATTCTGGCAATCCGTTTTGGTGACCCTGGGCCGAACTAAATATGTTTAAGTACTATAAGCAACACAGGCATAGGAGTCAATACAACGTGTATAATTAAAAACACCCCCCTCGAACTCGACGCTGGTGTATCGGACCGGGTCGATAGTTACCCCATTTAAAAGCCCTTGAAGCGACCAGTTTACACCCATCTTTATAAAGGGGATTTTGTTTAAACGCGACATTTTACAAGCCATTTCGCAAATGCGCTCTGATGATTCCCCAAAATCCTCCAGCTAGATGGCTCGAAGTGACCGTGAATTAGATGAAGAGGCCATTCCTTAAAGTTTTAAATCCATTAACATCAATACAATATTTTGCTTACAAAAATCGACTGTACATAGTTTTTATGGGTGTCTAACGCTGGCAAAAATTTGGCCCCGATCGGATGATAGACGGCCAAAAGCACAGGGGGGGTTTTGGGACACCCTGTACAGGGTGTGCAAAAAAAAGCCCACAGTTTGGGTCGAAATAACTCGCGAACGGTAGAGAATCGAAGGTACGTTACCATGCCAGAATGCTTAAATATGCTGGGTATGAAGATTTAACACAACTTGATTTTTTCGATTTTTGAGTACGAAACTGTACTATTGACACTGGTTACGACCGACCGGTTGCGTTCTTGAACGGGAGGTGGGATAATTCTGATTTTTGGCCTAAAAATAGTATGAATTTATAGAAATGTAATGGCAAGATCTTAGAATTTATCGAGGTCAATTTCATTTTTTAAAAGCAAAACAATTTTCGCGAGTTTTCGTTATTTTTGTTCTTTGAGTCATAACTCGCTTAAAACTCACTGCCTATGGCTGATATTTTGTCAATGACCTATCCAAATATTAATCTCGGATTCCACACCAAATTACACCACAATCTATGGTATTTTTATATTGCTTGCTAAAACGGGGTACTGTAGGTTTCGTTTTTCCCGCTTTTCTCGGGGCCCCTAGCTTCGATTCGGCTAAAATTTTCTGGGTTGTTAGGCAATAAGCAGGGGCACCTTGCTGCCAAATACGAGAGCCACAAACTTTCACGAAAAAGCCTAAAAACTGAGTTTTTAATTCCGCCACAGAATCTTGTAGATTTTTTGGTCAGTTGTACCAAAAACCGCTACTATTAGTTTTACGAAAAGATCAAAGCGATTCCATGGCAAAAACACCACGAAAATCGCGAATTTCGGTTTTCTACAGTAACCCCCGTGGAGCGCGTTTTGGCATGCCATCACAAAATTCCATAAAGTGACGATTTTTCAATTCGAGGACCTTCTAGAGTTGATTGTAAGATAACCTGTTAAAAATTACCGATTTTCGGTGGTAAATAACAAAGTTACGAGGCCAAGTGCAAAACAAGGCCAAAGAACCGATTTTGGGTCCGAGTAGCCGAGTCAATTTTCGAATTTTTAAAAATAAAAAAACCACCTGGATCTTAGGGATACGATTAAAGATTTGATGTTTTTATTTACGCTTGTCGAATTCCGGAGCAATCTGATTCAAAATTATGGTGACTTTCAGCCATAAATGGAAAATCACCCGGTTCTAAAACCGAAGTTTAAAATTCGTCGTAAAATTTTTTCGACGCTAAATTGTTTTAATCTTTGCATAGTTTTATTTAACTAATACCACAGATTTATTGGTGAAAAGTTCCTGGCGACATCACCTTCCAAAAATTTTTTACGCCCCCCTCGAATTCGGTTTATTTCGGGGTTTGATGAATTTTCTTTTCGCCAACGGCTGGTCAAATAAATTCAAGAACTTGGCATTAGGATGCGCTATTCCAATAATATCTGATAAAATTTAAATGACAATTTTCATAGCGCTGTTAAAATTTATAAATTGTTAGCGGGTTTTGGAAAAAAGCACGAATCAACCGCTTTGGAGGCCCTAAAAGACGCCCTTCCAAAGGAGTACGGTAGCTCGGAATTTTGTAGATGATAGATAAACCCCACCATTACTTAGCTAAGCAAAGAAAATAACTGAGGCCCCTTTGGCAATTTAGAAATATTTTTCCAAAGTCCGGTTTCGTGACCTCGAAAAATCCATGACCCGGGGGTCGTTGAAAAACTCGAAAATTCATCGATCTCGAAATTTTTTTAAGTGTATTTAGGCGGTTGTATAGGGTCCGTAGTGATTCCACAACAACTGATTTTGAGGTTTTCGCCATAGGTTTTTCCAATATTAAAAATTTACGAAATTTCCCCATAGAAAATTTCATTCCTCTCTAACTTTTCAACCAGATCCTCAAAAATTCTTAAATTTTGTAGGTATATATCTGCTGACTATATTAACTTACTTAATAAAAATTAGATGCCAGCCACCACAGGAAACTGAGAAAAATACAAACGAAGTTTCCCCGAACGCACAGTTTTCGGCTGTCATTTGTATTCTTACGTCGCCAAAAATCGAAAAAATCAAGTTGTGTTAAATCTTCATACCCAGCATATTTAAGCATTCTCGCATGGTAACGTACCTTCGATTCTCTACCGTTCGCGAGTTATTTCGACCCAAACTGTGGGCTTTTTTTTTGCACACCCTGTATAATTCATCCAAACCTGGCTGATACGGCGATCGAAGGCGAGCACCGTAGTACCGCCAATCGATACCCTCGATGTTGGCAGTAATTTCATCAACTTATTGCACGACCACGCTGCTTCTCTGGAAAACGGATTTGGAATGTCGCTGCTTTCACTTCCGTTGACTGCACAGAATTTGCTCCGCCCTAACAGTTACCTGAACTTCACACCCTGGCGTATAATACCGATCCGGTTGTGAATGCTATCGGTGTGCAATTCCCACATGTCCAAATCACGCGCCATCAATATCATCCCGCGCACCACAAACTGAAAAGTAGAAGGAGTCTTCGGCAGAATCATAACTTTCAAAATAACTTCGAGTTCGGATGTAATTACTTCACCCGGATTTTTCGTCACTTCTGAAGCTCTACAAATCATTGTTCGAACTCCGGGTTCTTTGCTTGTAACGAGGGGCAGGGGGCAGAGCGGATATTAAAGGGGCTACGAACTGCCAAATCAATGCCCTTTTGGGAGGGCAACCCGTATTTAAAGAGATGAGGACGGCATCTGTTGAACCCCCCTTGGGGAGGGGGGGGGTCAACAGATTCATCGGCGAGAGAGGGCGCCCAGGGGAGAGGCGCAGAGACATTTTCTTTCCCGCGCGTAATCGATTGACTTGTGCCGCCCCTATCCCTTTAACGCCCCTTCACGCCCTTTCGCGCCTTCCTGTATCTCGCGCCCCCTGTAAATAGCCCCCCCCCCCTGTATTTAACGCCCTCCAAATGACCACGAAAAGGGCGTTATTTTCAGAAAAAAAGCTCGTTTTGCAGGGCGTTATTTACAGGAGAGCGTTAAATACCGGGGGCGCGAAATACAGGGGGCGTTATTTACAGGAGGGCGTGAAGGGGCGCGAAAGGGCGTTAAATACGGGTTGCCTTTTGGGAGGGCTCTTTGATTTCTGGCAAATTGCCAGCGGGCGCTGCGGGACCAGAGCACTCACTCATTCGCTTTTTGCGCGAAACTATTTTTGCCCGGTTTCTTTGTGAAAACACTATAATTTGGGCATTCTGAGCCCATTTTTGAAATCCTCACTCAACCTTAAATACTTTTGATGTTTTAAGCATCAAATTTGGCCCAGAAACAGCCGAGAACGTGATTTCGAGGTGACAACAGGCTATTTCCAATTTGCGAGCTTCCCGGGCCCCGGGGTGTACAGAGTTCACGTTCAGGCCTCCTATTTTCGGGCCGTCACTCAATTTTTGGCATTTCTGGGCCCCTTTAACGAGCGGCAATCTTTCCCCCAGTAATTCCGGACAGAATCACAAAATAAAAACCATTTTGGTGGAATTTTCCCGTTTTATAAAAATAGTTCATCAAAAATTATAGCAATTTTCAAAATTTTTTGGCGGTTACTCAAGAATGTATGAAAAATGGTCCAAAAACCTAATTTTTCAATTTTTAGCAAAAGCTTAAATATTTGTATGACTTCTTAGCAATCAAAGCTAATAAAAAGACTGTAAAGATATACTATATGTTTTCAATCGGCAAAAAAAATAGCTTCCCCCATACCTTATCGTCATCGATATCCATAGAAGCAGACTCTCGAGTGCAGGCAGTTACCATCATCTGGCTCAATTTCCGGGGAAATAAGCCGCGTTTATTTATGGCGCTTCTGAATTTAACTTATTGATAGTTGTTAGAAATTAACTTTTTTTTAAATTATATTTCCCTATTATTAACTAAATTCCTGAAAAACTAGATTAAGAAAAAAACCACCTCTACAGCTGCAGATTTAGGACTATACAGGGTTACCCAAAATAAGTGTAAGCAACCGTAATGCTATATCAAAGCACCCGCCGATTACAGCCGCTTCGTGACTGTAATCGACTGGCCTTCGGGCTACCCTCCATATTCTACACCACCACATCTCTCACTACTTTCATCAATGCATATGCTGATGTTTTCAGAAACCCTCATAGCCTTAAAAAACTACTTCGATGCCTTTCCTATGGATTTAGATAGATACCTCCCACAGCCGAAATCCCCTTCAAAAACGACCTAAATACCTCCCCGATGTCTTCAGATACCCCCCATAGCCGAAATCCCCTTCGAAAAACTACCCAAATACCTTCCCGATGGCTTCAGATACCCCCCATTGCTGAAATCCCCTTCAAAAACTACCTAAACACCTTCCTGATGGCTTCAGATACCCCCCATGGCTGAAATCCCCTTCAAAAACTACCTAAATACCTTCCTGATGGCTTCAGATACCCCCCATGGCTGAAGTCCTAAGCTCTAGCTCTTTTCCCTTTCGAGTTGAATTCGACTTCAGACACACTGACGCCTCAAGAAAATTATTATAGTTGATTTATAGCCGGCTTCCAAACTTTTCGTAGCAACAAACGTAAAGATAAACAGTAGTCCCAATATGGCCTATGTTGTGTCCTTGAATTGTGTGAAGAGCTTGATGGGTTGCAGTTGAAGTATCGAATAAACAATCAATGTTTATTCGACAAAGCAGCAGACGAGGATAAAAATTAGGAATGATAAAATGGGCGATTTCCCGGGGAGGGCGGGGGCCTTTACGACACGAAATGGGGGATCGTGGCGGGACCACAGGCTACGTTCACAAGGGCACGCGATAGGGGGTAGGCAACTAGAGTCTAGCCTTTCGCCCCACAACAGCCTATAAGGATTTTTCCCTGGGGCCCTAATCTCTGAAATAAAGCCCCAGAAACCCGCACCCAAATATGGTCCTGGCCCGCAACTATCGGCTAGATACTTTGTTCTGAAACGACCAAACACTTTAACCGGCTTAAATTAAAGCTGCATGTTGAAAAGCCTAACTTGTTGTTGAAAGCTAAAGAATCCGGGACAGTCGTTACCGCAAGTTATTGGTAGAGTTCTTAGCCGAAATTGGCGAAATTTGGTACTCCGGGCAACTTGACGCATAATTAAATTCCAGGGACCGTGTCTTGGTATTTTGACACTCGGGTTGGTTGCTTTCGAACAATATTTAACTATGCTTTTTATGATTAAAGGGCTGCGGACGGCATGTGTCGATCCCCCCTCATCAACAAATTGGCAAGTAGCCAACAGGGGAGAGAGCGCGCCCAGGGGAGAGGCGCAAAGACATTTTCTTTTCCGCGCGTAATCGATTGACTATGCCGTCGGCATCCCTTTAAGAACAGCAGTTTGCTCCGCTAAAAACATAGCCAATTTTATGACCCAAAACGGAGGTGTCAAAGAGTTGCGGGCAAAGGACCATATTTGGATGCGGGTTTCTGGGGCTGTATTTCAGAGATTAGCTCCCTAGGGTAAAAATCCTTATAGGGATATTGAGACTACTGTTTATCTTTACTTTTGTTGCTACGAAAAGTTTGGAAGCCTGCTATAAATATTTTTATATGGCCTTATGTTTGTATACACTTATTTTGGGCCACCCTGTATACTACCTGATCGGCTTGTTGACGCGGTGCAAATTGAGCAGCGCGCAGAAGCCCAGCTGATTGATGACGGCCGAGAGGAGGGCGTCTGGGAGTTGGTCAGCCGGGAACATTGCTAAGAAAAGGATTGTTGCATTAATAGTAGAGGATGCTCAATTCACGAAATCAAAGGAAATGTTAAATATATTAGGTTAAGATTTAATTAAATCATGTTAATGAGAGAATTGGTTACTCCAATATGGAGTATGGCTAAAGAAAGTAAAGCAATTGGCCTGTTTCGACCCTTGTCCAAGACTGGCTATTTTACACTAGGGTCGGGCATCCTCGGTTGGAATCCCTAGTGGGGGGGAGTTATGGGACTATGGAGGTAGATTAGGGATAAATGAAAAAGAAAGTCAAAAGTCTTCCTATTTGTGAAATTTAGCTATGGAATGGTAAATTCGTGGTTAAACTTGTAACTTTTGAATTATCGGTCTAGTTGGCCTATTTTGGAGAGAGTGTGCGGGCTGGAGAACACAGAGAAAAGTAATGCATGTCGTAATGTAAGTGTACTAGAGCGTAGTCTATCCAAAGGGGGTTTCAAGAGTAAATAGTTTTTGGCTTTCGCTTGTAGCAAAGGTATGCGCAGAAAGCCGGTTAGAGAAGGTTTCAGAATGCCTGGATAGGGTACTCAAGGCCAGGATTTCTTATCATAATCGCCTGACAATGAGTAATTCAAAACTGTCGCTGTGCTCTGACCCCGAGACATCTGCTAGTATGGAGGAAGAATTACAGTCTGAATTTTCGACCTTTTCGAGCATTAATGTCGTAGTAGACTTACTATTCACGAATTCAAAGTAAATTTTAAATATATTAGGCTAAGATTGAATTAAATCGTGTTAATGAGAGAATTGGTTACTCCAATCCATCGTAAAAATAATCAGGCCTTGACAACGGGCGGGGTCGCCCAGCCAGGCCCGGGCCCGGCCCGGCCCGGCCAAATCTGGAATTTCAGGCCCCGGCCACGCCGGGCCGGGCCTGGTCAGCCCGGTACTAAATAAGGCCAGCGTGGACGGATCAAATTTTTTTGGCCTATGAGGGGGTATTTGGATATAAATAGCGACTATATAAAGCGGCAGAAGGATTTTCATTTTTTGCCATCTGAATTCAGGGGTGAACGTCATTACTTCGAAAAAATCATTGCTTCGAAAGTCATTACTTCGAAAAGTCATTACTTCGAAAGTCATTACTTCGAAAAGTCATTACTTCGAAAAGTCATTTCTTCGAAAAGTCATTACTTCGAAAAGTCATTACTTCGAAAAGTCATTTCTTTGAAAAGTCATTACTTCGAAACGTCATTACTTCGAAACGTCATTACTTCGAAAAATATGCTAATTTGGAATGTTCATATCACGAAATTCATGACACAGACGATAAAACCATTGCGTAGGTACCATATGCCTATTCTATTAAGGCTATTACTGTGTAGAGTTTCGGTCTGTATTAGGAGTGTTAGTTACCCCATCTCTACGAATTATTGTTTTGTTCTAATGATCCTTGCAGTCAATCACTGAAGCATCACGATGTTTATCTAAAAATGTCCGTGTATGTTTTGATGCTCTCTGAAATGACATCAGAAAATGTTCGTACTAACCAACTAAAACATCGAAAAATCTGGGGGTAAAGTAAGAATTTGCCGATTTTTTTCATGCGACGTGTAAAAAACTCGATCGAATAAACGGACCAATAGAGGCAGCAAGGTGTCAATTAGCGTACGTGCTATGCATGTTTTTCGAAGTAATGACGTTTCGAAGAAATGACTTTTCGAAGTAATGACTTTTCGAAGTAATGACTTTCGAAGTAATGACTTTTCGAAGTAATGACTTTCGAAGTAATGATTTTCGAAGTAATGATTTTCGAAGGCGTTTTTTTAACCCATCGAATCACATCTGCCCGAATTGCATCCCATCGAATTACATCCCATCGAAATTACGACTCATCGAAATTACGACTCATCGAATTACGACTCATCGAATTACGGCTCATCGAAATTACGACTCATCGAAATTACGACTCATCGAAATTACAACTCCTCGAAATATCGGTTTTTGTCAACCAAATTTTTTTCGGTCCAAGCCTAAATTTTTTTATGAATAGCGGATGCGTTTGTAAATGGTTTTTAACTATTTCTAAGCATAAAAACTATACAGATTTTTATTAAAAATTTAATTTTAGGTCGAGAAACGGATTTTTTTCGGCCAAGAATGACTAAAATTGGACCGGGCAAAAATTAGTATTTTTTGAAAATTCGCTTAGCTGACATTTCTATGAGTCGTAATTTCGATGAGTCGTGATTTCGATGAGTCGTAATTTCGATGAGTCGTAATTCGATGAGTCGTAATTCGATGATTCGTAATTCGATGAGTCGTAATTTCGATGGGATGTAATTCGATGGGATGCAATTCGATGGGATGCAATTCGATCAGATGTAATTCGATGGGCTGATAGCAAATCATTTTCGAAGTAATGACTGGCAGCCTGAATTCAGGACAAGTATACAAAGTGAAGCATAAAATGGGGGCAGACGGGGGCCAGGGTTGAAAAGGCGCGAAGCGGCTTTTCAACCCTGGTTCAACTTAAATCACCTGTTTAAACAGTTAAAAGTAAAAAAATCCGAGGTTTGGCTTAAATTTGATTTATCAGGAAAACGACCCGGGTTCGATCCCGGCCGAGGTCAATCTTTTGCTTTTTGCTTTTTTTGGCCGGAAATGTTCAGAAATGCTGGGAATATGCCTTGTTAGCCTTATTTAAGTGTATTAGTGTTCAAACTACACGTATGCGTCGAAGAAATTGAACTCCACTAACAAACAAAACAGACAACATAAGCAGGCCCGTACGAGGGGGGGGGGGCACCGGGGCACGGTGCCCCCCGAAATCGGTCGAGGTCCGAAAAGTTCATAAGGGGGGACCCTTATGTTTTTTTGCGCAAAAATTTTTCTGCCTGCGGCGCTGTTTAACACTGATTCGAAACGATTTTTACTTCTAGAAAACCTATTTTTTTCTAAAATTTTTTTGCCTGCGGCGCTCGTTTTCATTAATGCACCATGTTTGCTGAACAAAATTTCGCTTGTAGACGCCGTTTCCTATGTGTTTTCACACGATTTTAAGCGCTATGAACGCGGTTTTCTAAATTTTTTTCGC